TTTTTTCCAGAGTTAATTTTATCATATACCTCATGTTTTAGAGTCAAAAATTAAAATTATCATTCAGACATAAATAATTATGTATAGTTTAATATGTTATGAGAATGAATAAAGTAGCATTACATGGCTGACACTAGTATAAACGTCAATACACATCTATAATATTAAAAATCGCCTCTTTTTCTATTAAATATTAAGCTGTTTAAATTAAACTATATCGTATTTAACAATAATCACTATACGACTTCTAGCGGTAACCTAACCTGGTATAACCGAAAGAAAATCAATTCGATCTAAACTAAATACAATTCATAATTAATGCCAGCACTCTTATAATAAACAACTATGAAATGTGTATGTATGTATTAAAATAACTGATATTATTTAATATATTTTTATGTATGTTTTTCATGTTTATGAAAAAAATTATTAATTTAAATTTGTTGACTAACCGAACACTCCTTTTGAATGCATACTTGTAGCTGTAGGAATAATTTCGTTAAAAGTGTGCAATTTTCCATTGCAAATAAAGCACATAATAACAAGATGGCAATAACAATACGAATGGTCGGACGGAACCACAAAACGTATTAAATTTCCGTAAAATTTAGCGCAAGAGAAAAAATTAGAAATAAAAATCGTAAATGTCACACAAATTACCGATTTATGAACACTATAAAATATGGTCCATTGACCATATTCATGATTGTAGAATGTGTATATGGCATGTAAAGAAATCAAAAAATCGTGTTACAATAATTTTTCGAAAATAAAGAAAAATATTAGATTATATGCGATTTATCATTCAAAAGTTTAACCATAGCAAATTGATTTTATGATTTCGAACCCGATCTAATTTATGGTTTATATGACGAACTTCGGAAGATCGAACGATATCCACTACCGATTCGCCTTATTACTTGTCTACAAACACCACGTGAAGCTATTATTTAAAATCAATTTCAAAGTGTTACACCAGTCTTGACTGATGAAATAATTAATTGTTACAAGACAGACATAAAATACATGATGAGTATTTATTAGCACAGACAGTGATTTACGATATTAGCATAAAAGACAATGGAAAATATAAAACTAAATAACGTCACATAATGAATCCATATATGCAAAGAACTCGCAGCAAAGGATCATTCAAAGATGATTTAAAAAATGAGAAAGAGCAATAGAAGTAAAATATGACTAATAATTATTTAAAAACGAGGAAAAAACATAAAGTATCTTTTACTTTTCTACAATGATATTGATTTTACTTTGTTAAAAATCAAATATATATTTTCGTTGTTTTTTACTGCAATAATAATTATGAATCTAGATGATATTATAAATATTATTAATGATGGTGTTCAATTATATAGTCTCCTCAACAATAATCAGCGACAATACTCCTCACATAATCCTTAACTGCCCCTTATTATTTATTCCACGTAAATCCTTTATTTCTGTGCTAATCAAATCCTTTAATGTTCCTTTCAGTTTGCAACATATCCTGTTAGTATATAATTCTTGATCCCATTTATTATGACATATTATAAATTAATTCAAATTTACGTCGATAGCAAAAACGCATTACCACGTAAACTCACTTAAAAACTAAAAAAATAATTTTTTTTTTCTTCGAACATTGTAATGTAACATATAGTTTATATTCATTCAATGTATACAATCTGATACACAATATTCGAAAAAAAAAAAAAATTTAAGCCAATTTCCAATATTGGAATTTTTTGTTATTATACTAAAGTAATAATTATTTGTTTGTTACTTTGAACGTGCCGAAACCAACTTTGAGCTAAATTAGAAGTGCAAGCCACAATTTTACAATTATTGGGATAAAGATTTGATTAAGCATTGTGTACAGATATCTCAAAATCTACATGGAACTCTTTAATATTTGGTTCATGGTTAAGCGTATGAGCACAAAGATCCTGAATTGTTATCCGCATTGTATTATATGTTGAAATTGACTTATTCTTCTAAAAACAAAAAATTACAGTCACATAAAAATATAAAATATAATTATTGTCGTGGTGCGCAAACCTGTTATACATTCAACATAACCGTCATCCCAAACAAGTTGCAGCCATTTTAATAATAGCCTAACCTCTTTGCAAAGAAAAATCTCTGAAAGATTTATTGACTTTGTTGTTTTATAAAATATTTTAGATATTTACAAGGTTAACATGTTCAATGTTATTATATTCACTGGGAACTTTGCGCATAAGGCACATTAGTCAATACAATAATTTAGCGTCTAGGATAGTAATGGAAATGATTATTACTAATTTAATATAGAAATAATTTTTAAAATTTTTATTAACTCTTATTCCCGGGCTGATTGGCAGATTATAATGCATAACTGATCGATATGAATATTAAAATAATTTTATTCCTCCGATTATTATCAACTAGTTTTTCAGACATTAAAAATAAAAATATAACAGACAGAAATGTTTGTCAAGCGCAACCTCGCGGACGGCTAGCCAAGATACATTATAGCGATCAACGTACCCATGTGCACTTGAGGGCGCCACAGTGATAATCGAGTGAGGAGATGCCCTTACAAGACTGTGAACATATTGTATTCAATATTCATCTGATAAAGGTAACTTAATAGCATTCTGTATGGTTTGATTTGAGATTAATAGATTTTATATATTACACACAATGGTAACCGAGCACGCGTTGAAATGTATCGAATAATATAACGATTTAATGATAATCAATATTATCTGGACAACTTTAGGATCTATTCTAAAGATTTTTGTCAACAGGGTAATTCTTTTACAAACCTCTATACACATTGTTGCAACTAATATATTTGTATGCAATAGATACGTATTAAGTATACGATATACATAAATATCTGTTTAAAGTGATTTTTATTGCTAGTTTTAATTTATATTTCCATCAAAAATAAACACTACAATAATTATAAATAATAAAATACGTTTAGACCTAACGCTTTCAATATAGGGGATGAATAAGCATTTATGATTTATCTTTTTAATATTTGAAAAATGTAAATGAAATAAAAATAAAATAACAATAACAATATAGTTTTTCATCTACTTATTCTTCTTGGTGTTATTATTAGCTTCTTCATATACGTCATTCAACCATGGTTGTTGTTCTTTTGTTTTATTCGTATCTTTCTCCTACATTTTAGTTTTATTCATCCGGAATGGTTGATTTGATGATTTATATGATCGAAGATACATATAGTGCATGAACAGCGAAAAATTAATTCTCAAAAACGTGAATAGCCCTCAACAACGCCTTAGAATAGACCCTGATAATATCATAAAACAGTTAAAAACACTGTCGATTCTCAGTAAAACGAGAAACATATTGGTTTCACAGGATGTGTGTTTATTTGTGTATGTGTAATACACACTGTGTATACGATCAGAAAAATTAGGGAGATGGTAAACTGCGGCAAATTTAACCTTTTTCCAAAAGTCGATACGTAAACTGCACCAAGAAAAAATTTAACATTACACAATCTGCGAAAAAACCGATAGAATACATTATACAAACTGCGGCAATTAGTTTTATATACCTTCAATATCATATACTTTATAGTATGTAATATGTACTTATGTGTACTCATTTACGTATGTCGTATTCATTGAATGCTTATATTACCGTTCGCTATAGGTGGTATACATTTAAAAATTTTTTTTTACCTATTTATAGGTACCTAGTTCAACATTTCATGTTTTTTTTTAGCTTTTATTTAAATATTTTGTTTTAAATAATTCAGGTTTTGACAAAAAGTCTTTAAAATATAATATATAAAGTTCCTTATATACATCTATTACAGATTAACTAGTTAATTTAACAGTTGAACTTAATTTCAAAAATAATTTACGATCGTTAAAAATATTGAATATTGACAAAACTATAAAAAAAAAACACGAAAATTAGTTATATTTTTATTGTTAAAAATACATAATACTTTCAATTTTCATATCTATTATTTACGAATCAATAATACAATTTTTCATAAGGCTTTTCTTGAAGCAAAAAAAAAAAAAAAACTGGAAGACTGTAACTGCAGAAAAATAATTAAATATTTTTATAGAAACAATTTACAATTTGACATTATTAGCATATGGCAATCACGGACATCAAAATTATATACACATTTACAAGGCAAATGATGTGTACTTTTCACTGTAAAAATTGTTAAATGTTTAACATACCCAAATAAATGTTTTCAACGGGCTAAAATGTTTACTGAACGTTTCAATCGATATTAATTTCCTAACTTAGATTTTTATTCACTGATTAACACTATCACCAGTTGAATCTTAGTGTACTTTCGGCATAAAAAAAAAAAAAATTTAAATACAAAATATTGTAATTTCGGTTTCACTTTATACTTAAAAGTTTGATTTCAATTATTGAGTAGTAAAAACCACTCGAACAGTTTACTTAAGATAATGAAGGTGCTCGGTATATTTTCACTGTTTAAAACACAGAAACACTCCCAGTGTAACATTCACAAAAACCAACCGAAACCGATATCATATTGTATTCGAAAGTAATCTTAAATCTTCCTCGCCGTCTTATTGGCGTCGTTATTGAATTGTTTTTGTTATTTAATGTAACAACACAAAACCTCGTGAACAAATGTTGATAATTATTATAATTATTTCGTTCTTGTGCCACGTGTTGGTCGAGAACATCTCTACGATTTGTCCGTCTCAATACACGGACGATTGGAAAATGTAACAGTGGAAAAAACTGCCCTCTCCCCCCCCCCCCCCTCCCACCGCCGGTCTAGGGGCGTAACGAAATCGCACGATCGTGCCGTGCATTTGAATACATAATACGTACGCCCAATCTCGGATCGAGCAAACATTGTCATTGTGGGCAGATACGACGTCATAACAATATATAACATAATGCGTGCGCGCGCGTGTGTGCGCGTGTACGTGTGTGCGTGTACGTGTGTGCGCGTGTACATTCGGATATACAAATGTACGTACACAAGGTCCCAGCGCCGCGTGCACGTAATGAGTTTTGACTAGCTTCAGTCGCACAGATCCATTCATCATCGGCACGCGCGTCGATTGCCCATCGAACACTGCTGCAGACGGCTTATCAGCGAGGTGATATTACAGGTAAATATTGTTCGAAAAGAATTATACCCGTGACACAATGGATTGTTCGTTTGAAACATATCAGTTGTAAAAGTTGTTTAAATACGTGCAACAGCAGTGCGTGCGTGTGTTCTCCGGACGGACGGTTGCGATGGCAAATGAATCCGCTATCGGTTCGCGCAAACTTTTTCTCCGCGAAACTGGCAGCGAATGTATCGTTCATGTGAATCCGCGTTCAATGTTCGCCCGGAGTCCGCGAAACGGATTCGGATTAAAAAAAAAACACGCACACGTTTGATTTCCTAAACATCCGCATAACGGCGTTCGCGTTGTTACAAAACTCTGAGCAATCGAAACTCTCGACGTATTCCTGCGATACCGATCGACTGAAAAACAGATCGATTCAAAATCAGACCCGGTGCCAATAACGGTGTTGATTAGTTTTCGTCGCGAAAGCAACGTTATTGAAACATTGAAAAAATTATCGTTGTTATATTTCGTATAGTTATACGCGTTCTTCGAAAAATCATTATTTATTCTTAACGACGGGGCGTTGAACGTGCTCATATGATTATGAGTAAATAACACTTCTAGTCGATTACGTCTAATGAGTTGTTTAATGCAAATATAACATCTTAATAGCAACGAATTGAGTACCGAAAAATTCGACATAACGATTTCGTACGACGTGGATCTAGCGGTTTACGATTCCATTAGTTTTTACCTCTAGAATGTTATTATGTAATTTAATAGTAGACGTATAGTTGACGTTTAAAATGATAACTGTTAATCTTGGAAATTAATGTGTTTTCCACGTTCGTTTCTGTTTATTTTGTTTATTGCAATATACCTAGTAGGTAACAAATTGAGCAGGTCTCGAAAGACGGCTGCATCACGATTGCACTACGATTCCGCCCCAATCCCTTTTTACCTGATGAAATCACAACACCATTGCGCACCATATACTATGTATAATAGTTGATGTACAACATAAAATAATGTATACAATACATACTTTCTACATATAATTTTCATATACATGCATTCAAACTCATTACCTATTAATTCACAATTTTCCTTCCCAATCATTACAGGCTTAGGCTTAATAAGAAAAATTTCGACTATTTACCATGTCAGTATATACATTTAGCATACATGTAATTTAGAAAAAAATCAATTTTTAACCAAGCCAACGATGATAATTTGTTGACAGACCTAAGCCTGTAATGATTGGGAAGGAAAATTGTGAATTAATAGGTAATAAGTTTGAATGCATGTATATGAAAATTATATGTAGAAAGTATGTATTGTGTACATTATTTTATGTTGTACATAAATTATTATACATACTATATGGTGCGCAATGATGTTGTGATTTTATCAAGTAAAAAAGGATTGGGTCGGAATCGTAATGCAATTTTTTTGCGCAATCGTAGTGTAATTAGTCGGGTCAAAAAAGGAAAATTTGTGCAATCGTGATGCACCGCGAAAGACACCCTAATAATTTTAAGCCTATTGTTGATATTTTTTTATTTTTTTTTTATTAGCTTTTAGTCGGTGACTATGATAAATTGTTAATGTTAATAGGTTCTGATTATTACAATAATTACTAGCAATAACTATGTAGAAATTAAATGCCTTAAAAGGGAAATCCTTAATAATTAATATTGTTATTCTAATGGCACTTAACATCAATTATTTTAAATACATTTGTATTATAATATTATTAAAATTGGTTCGATTCTTACATTGTTATCACACAATCGTAAATTCACTTCATTCTTATTATTAATTAAATTCTTATCACATAATTTACTATTGTATTGGGTATCAGTTTTTATATGACCTACGATCTGTTGAAATTATATAAAATATTTCGGCGTTTACTGCACACCGGTAAATAGTCGTAAAAGTAATTTAGGTAATTTATAATATATAATATAATAAATAAATAAATTATAAATAATTTATAAATTTAATATAATATATAATTTAATCATATTTCAAATATAATTTAGATGAATAAACACTATAAAAACATGTCCATATCGTGTTCAACATTTACTTTGCAACCGTAAAACACTACACGAATATTTCTTCGAATAATGAGCTGTAATTATTTTTATTCAATTCAAACTTGTAATGAGCTTATTTTATGATTTTTTTTCTTTAGTTAAATAAAAATATCTTGTGTTTTGACGTTTAAACAGATCCCGTTTCGATGTAGATTTTCGTTATGTGAAGCATAATATAATATCAATAAATTTTTAATATCTAAATACATACGCAGCAACAACAATAAATACACCGAAAGCAATGTACCGTTTTGACTGGTACAGGAAATCGTAATTATAATTACCGACCGGTATTCAGCGATCAATTACTGGTCCCATTGATCAAGGCCGTGTATACGGCACGTACCTATATCAAAGTGTTTTATTGTATTCTTTTTTTTTTTTTTTTTTCATTACAAGTACTCGAAAATGTACACACCATACTAAACGACCATACGAAACGCAATTGGTTTAGCTAAATTAATTTAAATGACATTTCGTCGAACTATTTTTTAATCCGTTAACCAACGCACACGAGTGCAACATAACAACCAAGAGTTTTCACACGCGGTGTTACAGAAAGACATCGTACTACTTTACGAATTTTGATTTGAAACCCAGTAGACCGTTTATTGTACCGGGCGGAATTACGTATTTTTCATTCTCCTTTGCGTGAGAATCGATGAACTCAGTTTAGTCGTTCCGTTCGGTCCAATGTATTCGATGCGAATTGTGTCGCAATCCGTACATAACAAACGTTATTCTCTCGGCGAGTACAAAAAAAGTGGACGAAACCGTTAGGCTCTTCTCGGTGTAACAATCGCGGTACAGAAATCGACGGCGGTCGTTAATAGTTTACATGACACGTTGCCTTACGTGCAATATACAGTGCGTTCTCTGTGTCGCGTGTAAGTAGACCGGCGTGCAGTTGTTATTCGTACGCACAGAGTAATTGGGTTATAAAGTCGTCACCCTAAGGCGAAACATGTCCCTCCCTCCACGCGCGCACGAGACTTTCGCACTAAAATTCCATTCTTCGGACGACGCACGCACGCAAACACTGAGTCCGCGAAAATAAACAGATAAATCATAATAATTTCACAACACCGGCAGCATGTCACGCGTGTGCGCGTGTGGGCTTAAGAGATTACGTTGCATCGAGGTCGACGGCCGAAGCTAAATCCAACGGATATCGAAAACATATAATGCATATTATTCTCTTAGTAATGTAGCATATTCAGAAACCGAACAAAAACGCCTTTTGTACGCTTCGCAGGCCGTACGTGCGACAGCACGACGATCGTAATTGCTTCGCACGCGAGATTCACCCGTCCAGTCGAGTTATTTTACACGCATGCGGTTTTACCTGTAACACATCCGGCACAACCTCGGAGCGTCTCCAACCCGGCGGTGCATACAGAGGGTAAATAGGTTAAAGCCTCTATGATTTAGAGGGGAAAAAAACATGCACCGGTTATGGGGCGTAATTCAGAACCTAGTAGTCTTTTATACCCTCGTTTAAAACTCGACATCACGTCCGATAAGACAACTCGGAATCCGAGTATTATAATGTTTAGCCATGTCCGCTTTGGAAAAAGCGTGACGCGGTGCAATTTTCAAATACTGACAATTTTCTAATCGAGTTGAGAACACGCTTGCCACGGACCACGAGCATCACGTATCCCGCAGCACTTTACTCGGGGTGAATTATTTTATCCTACTGTTTTTTAGCATTACAGAAACTCTCGACTACCCGCGGGTATCTACTACCGAATCCCGACCGATTAATTGTTTTACCGCTGCGTCGGATTTTTAAAAAATCCACTTTTACTCTAAAAGTGTTGCGTCAATATTGTTAAGGCGAACGTACATCGAAATGCAAAACAGTGATTGACGCGGCACCGGAAGTACACGATGCCGGACGTTGAATGACGTGAACGTGCGTGTTATACACTCAAACGTGTCCGCGAACTTTTTGCATAAACACGATTAATCAGGCACGGGAACAGGCGCGTGTTTTGGGCGTTGGCGCTAGGGGAGGGGGGGGAGTTTTCGATTTACCTTCTTCGAAATGATCGTGACCTAAATAATAAACCAATAATGCGGTACAAACCGCATAGGTATCTTAACTCGTGGTCACTGCAATACCGACTTTGAGGGTAAGGAGTGTGGGAAGCGATTGTTGCTACGTCTCCCTGGAATCACGTGCATGTTACGGACACGATGATAATATGCCGCAACGGGAACAGCGCTAGCAGTGGCGTATCCAGAATTTTTTTTTTTTTTTGAGGGGCGGGTTAGAAAAAATGTAACATTACATTTTTTGAATTTTCGTGTGTTTTTATTATAATCGATTGACAACAATCATACATTAAAAATGTTCGGGGGGGTTATAACCCCCTAACCCCTTCACCGTTGGATACGGAACTGAGCGCTAGCACTTGGTTTTATTCGTCAAACGTGTTGTTACCAAACGCGAAACAGTAGCGACGATAAACGATGATTTCGTTCACAGGTGAGAGATTACCGACGCCGCGTGACCGATGAGTAGTTCTGCGGCGGACGAGCGAATCCAGCGGAAAATGAAGATGAACAAGCTGCCGAAAAAACCCGAGTCCGGAACGTCTAGACCGGCGCCGCCGCCGCCGGTGGCCGAGAACGTGTTGGCCAAACGTCCGGACGTGTTGCACCTGGCCGGGTACAAGGACGGTAACGGCGACGGGGTGGCCAACAACGCCGGGGTGGCCGATGCGGCCGGCGACGATCGGGTGGACCCGAACGAAAAGCTGCTCCTGTCGCCCGCGTCCGACGTTTCGTCCGCGGTCATCATCGACTTGCACACCCGCGCCGACGGACAGCCCGTCACCACCCCGTCCATCGTACGCCAGTCGTGGTAAGGCGAGTTTAGAACCCACAGGACCGACCACTGTCGAACAGTCCTTCGGTTCCTGGTCGTTGTAAACGTGTTTTCGAATCGAGAAAGAAAAAACATTTCATAAACAAGATGGAACTCAAATCGTGTACGCGTTACGTTGAATTTCGTTTCAATGCGGCTCAACAATTCTTCTTATTTATTTAAATTAACGTTTTTTTTTCCAAGCACTTAACATAACGAAATATGGCGGGATGATTATTTTAAGACATAGAACACATGATAAACCTACTAAAACGATTTGAGTACGTCTAACAATTAGAATAATAAGGCTTTAGATAAGTTATTAAAAAAAAAAAAAAAAAAAAATGAAAGGTTCACTTCACCGCCTGAAAAGCTCAACTGAGAAGGTAAAATTAATTTATTACATTTTCGAAGAGTGTTTTTTTTTTTTTGGTAAATTTTAAGTTAATGCAAATTTTGTTTGCCACATTTTATTTTCACTCACAGCAGCTAACACACTGCAATTTAAATCATCTTGATACATTCAACTAGCTGCTTAATTTTTCTTTCGTATATATATATTATATAAGTATACAATTGAATAATGGTAAAAGAAAGTAACAAGTTTAAATTATAAACCTATGAATTAAACGTTGCTCTTTTAATTAGATTTAAAAGAATGGTCTACGAATGGATTAAATAAAGATACTCTGTAATAATCCTCAGGCAAATTATCCTGTAAATAACATGTTTTTTTTTTTTGTAAGCTGTACGAGGAGTATATATAATTGCGTTTAAGTTTTCTCGTTTAGATTTTGGATTATAAAATATAATTTAAAATTCCCTTCTATCATTTAATCTCAGTTTTTTAGTTATACTTGTCACGTCATCATTAGTTTGAATAGTTTCAACCACATACTCCTCTATATTATTTGCTTGAAGAAACTGACTTATTGGTTAACTAACGTTTCCCAATATATAATATGCTGATAAATATTCTGGTTGTCTTATAGCCCACAGCAATGTGTTTACTCCTGATGAAGCATTCTTATCAGAGCAAGTACAAATTTCTATCAATTATTACATCAAATTACTCAAAAAAAAACAATTATTGAATAATTTTGGTTTACTTATCTTTTTAGACATATCAGTTTTAAACGATTTTGGTTTTACGAGGAATATACACATGTTATTTCTAAAACATTATTTTTTTTTAGGGTACTTTTAGAATAATGTAAAATACATTATGCTTCTGCGACTAGTAATGGTGTACAACAAACGACAAGCGAAAGCTTCAATACAGAAAAAAATCTTTTCTACAAACTTTGTAATGTTACATACCTAAAATTAAAAAAAATCAATTACGACACCCAAACCCCTCCCCTTGTCTACGCCATCGACCGGACGTACACACCGACACTGAGCAATGTCTGAAATTTAATAACTGTTCTATCTATTGTTATACAAACCTGTACACGGGGGCCCGTAGGTAATGTTAAAAGGAAGGGAAAATTATTAGCGAACAATAAAATTTGCACGTAACGATCGTCATTACGAAAAGAATCGTGAATTTTTTTACTTATTTCATACCCAATGCCGATATTAATAAAAAAATATATACATATTGAATTGAATGTTAATATTATTTTTCCACGGGGGGGGGGGGGGGTAGTGCCACGTATTGCCACCTCCCTTACGGATGCACATAAGCCTGTACGATTTGTACGTGGTCATTTACATATGTTACGTAGTGTAATTATTATTTTTTAATGCCCGTAATAATAATAATTACTATTACAATATATTTTATTTATTTTGAACTTGATAAGATGTGTAATATAGCTTTTCTCGAGTATAATATTTTTTAATTATTTCTAGAGTGAAATTAACTAACAAAATATTTAAATACGTTGCGCGAATCTCACAAACGTGTTGACATTATGATAATCAACTATCCAGACAATTATGTTCTTTATCATTTTTTGTTATTTTTATTTTAATTGAATAAACAAATGTTATATTATCATCTTGCTTAATGAGTAAAATTTACAATGCTTTGTTATTAATATCAACGTTACATGGATTAAATTTCTACTTTAAAATGTTGTAAAAGACAAAAATGATTAAGTTTGCTTCACAATTTAATAAAACTGAAGACAAGTTACTGTATTTTTAATTACATTCGGCTAGCTTTTTTCATTTTTTTTTTTTTTTTTTTTTTTTAATACATCCATAACTTACTTGATGTTGTGATAATTTAAGTTTCACATAGACAATTTTCATTTAAAAAGTTTAAGCAGTAAGATACTTTTCATTCACCTTCTATGTTTTCCTATTGTTTCTTCATTAAATTAAAAATGTTAACTATTTAATAGTGATAATGTAACGGATTTTTTGGTTGAATAAAAATTATAAATGCGTATAAGACAGAACCCGTTGAACATTTTAAATTTTAGATAATTTAGAAGACAATTATCCAGTCAACGATCAATAGTTGTATAGAAAATATCTAGAAATACTTTCAAATAAAAACCAAACTCGTTTCTGTTGATTTCATTTTTTTATTACCTTGAGATTCAGAGAAAAACTATGAATGTATTGGTTTCACCAACATAATATGACATATAGACATATTATATTTATTTTTGTGTATGTATACGTGTATGAATATGATTTCGTCTAAAATAATTGCTTAGATCATCACCAAATAAAAATTAAAAGATAGGAAATGAGGTCTGATTGGTACTTGAGAGAGTAATTTCTGAACTTCTTAACAATTTTCGAATAAATGAGAAAAATGAAGAACAAACTTCAAATCCAAAAAGAAATTATTCACAAGAATCTAAAACATTTTTATGGTTTAGGTTTGTATATAAGTTTGTAACTGTAATTTGTCAATTTTAATTATATACTTTTGACTTGAAAATGTAATATAAGATTCTTTATTATATATTAAACTTTGAAGAAAAAAAATAAATTACCGAAATGTAATAAACAATTTTTAGAAGCTTTACAAAATTAAATGTTGTCAAAATCGGATATTTCAACGAATTTCTTTTAGGTTGTATTTTTTATTTATTTGCTATCCAATAAAGATTTCCTTTAGTTACTCGAAGCATATTCTGAATATTTATATAGGCATTTTAAATACATTTAATAGTTTCAAAATATTTTAGCCAACATTTTTTGTTAATAGATGCTTGAAATTTTCAATTTTGCCACATTATAGTTACCTTTTTTTTGTAGAAAATTATAATATAAAAAGTTCAATCTAACCCATGTTTAACCATCTTTATAAATGTAAATTAATTAACCCGACATTTTTTATTTGGAATCGTTTTTTCGATACTAATGAAACATTGGTTTCAACTTAAAGACCAATACTGCAATACCTTTCTATGTACACACCTGACTGTTAAATCTAATTTTATCTAGAATTTCGTTTTTTTTTTTTTTGTATTTATAAATAAAAAATTTCAATTCTAAATTTTTAAAAATTATATAAGTGTTGTCGTTGATCAAAACAATTGGCAAATTTATATCAAAAGAAAGTAGACTTGTTCTTATAACTCCTATAAAATAAATTTATTTCAACATAAGAAATTGATAAAGTTAACAATATAATTGACCTTACAATTATAATAATTAGAGATATTGATTATGTTATTTAACGATTTATTTTTAAATTAAATAACAATGAATTCCTTGATATAATTATACAAAATGGATATTAAAAAATTATGAAACTACATTATTCGAAATAAAACATTCTCTGATTCACTCGTAAAAAACATATTTTCTCGTAGGAACATAGGTTACCAACATTTGTAAGATATTTTTAACAGTTTAATTCATTTTTGGATTGAATTTCTTTAATTAAATGCATAATTCAGTATAATCTATGTACAATAAATTACAGTTCTTATATACCAACTTATGCTATCGGTTTCCTGCTTATGTAATCTAAATTAGAAAAAAAATGTATTCAGATATGTATTAATCTTGTACTAGTGTACTATTTTATGCTATATAGTTTTCCAGATATGGTACAATGATGCGCCATCATATAATTTCACCCCACCATTTCTGATAAATTTAGCCAACATTTGGTAATTATTGAAAAAATATTTTCTGATAAGGTTTCTGCATACATGCAAAAAGTATTCCTTAGTAAAAAGTCTTAAAATAAAAAAAAATAATCCATATCGTAACATATATTAAACACAATATTATACATTTTCTTATATCTAAATATAAACAAATCGTACAACTATATTTGATGTACTAAAAACCTAGATTATATTATAAATCACTTTACACTTCCACGCAAACGAAATGTAATACAACTACATATAATTATAGAACATATATAATATTCCTTATGGTAATTATTGTATTATTCATTTCGCGATTAATTTTACCTGACGATGATTTTTTAATCCTGGTCATACTTTATAAGCATAATAATATTCCAAGCCAAGCATTAATTAATTTATTTCTATCATATAAACAAACTGTTTGTTTATTTATATACGTATTATTCCATTGGAAGCACAGTATACAGATATAACTATATAAATCTTATAAGTTTCTATAATGTTTGCATACCTCTTCAACAGAACAAAAAGGGTATTGAAACTACGGATATCAATTTTAACTGCATTGATTAAAACGTTGGCCTGGTTTAAGGACGGTGGTCGGGGAAAGGTTCACGTACCCGGGTGGTCACGGACATCGAACCTGTCGGTTAATACACTATATATTCTATTACATAATAATATACCAATACATTGGTATATATCTTTTTATCGTGTAGTTTTAACAAGTTTAATAAGATTCATCGAAATATTATTTTGATCTATAAAAATATACTGAGTTGTACATAAAAAAAAAAATAAAAAAAAATAAAAAAAAAATACTGTAACTTATTAAATATTGAGCGTTGGGTGAGGCTTCACATAATAGTCCTAACGCTAATTGTGTGCTAGGCATTTGGAATATTCTCGTTGAAATGAAAATATATCACTATGCGAATCGTTCGGTCCAAAGAGCTTTATCCAAAGTAGCTGGTGTGAAAACAAACAGAAACATGTGTGCGGGACAAGCGGTCTTATAAGTGATGTTTTGGGTGTTGTAAAGCAATACTCCGACGAAACGCTTTGCACGACCAAAGGAAGAAAAATTTGTTCGCGCGACTATAGCGTTCGACTATAGAGCCGCCCGTCCCCCTCCCCGTTCAGGTGTCGTGCATGCATCGGTGCTGTTGTCACGTGCGTTCTGTTTCAGCTTCAAAAAATCGAACTTGATGTCGTCGTCGATGTACCGGAAGACCCGGCGGCGGGCGCTGTTCAAGAACGGCGAGTGCAACATTGTGCTGGCCAACGTGTCCAAGCTGCGGCGCCGGTACATGCAGGACCTGTTCACCACGCTGGTGGACGCGCAATGGCGGTGGACGCTGCTGGTGTTCTGCGCGAGCTTCGTGCTCAGCTGGCTGATCTTCGGCGTCGTCTGGTACCTGATCGCCTACACGCACGCCGACCTCGCCGAGGAGAACATAAAGAACACGTCGTGGTCCCCGTGCGTGATCAACATGCAAACGTTCATGGCCAGCTTCCTGTTCAGCGTGGAGACCCAGCACACCACCGGCTTCGGTTACCGCATGATCACCGAGGAGTGCCCCGAAGCCGTGGTGCTGTTCTGCTTGCAGAGCATCGCCGGCCTCATGATCCAAGTGCGTCCCAGGTGACCCCTCCCAGCTTTCGCGCGTCGCTCGACGATCCAAAATCGTCAGTTGCTCACCGCTCCGGGGGAAGGGTAGATCTTCGACATATCGACCCCGCGTCGTTTTTCGGTTCGGACTGCGCGCGTGCTCTGGTCTGTTTTTTTTCGTTCCGCCCGTCGTCTTGCGCTGTTTTTTTTTTTTTTTTTTTTTTTTTTTCTACCTCGCTCGGTGAACTCTAGGGTGGAATTGACGCGCCCGGGGGAAAATCGTTTTTTATGGATTGAAAAAAAAAAAAAATACCGCCGATCGATTTGCTTGGTGATTTGGTGAATAGCTCTCTTGTACGTTCGACACGCAGAGCTTAGCAGTCGATCGGTTCGTTATACGTGCACTTCACATGATTGTTAATTCAATGTCTAAACAGGCGTTCATGGTGGGCATCGTGTTCGCAAAGATGGCCCGACCGAAGCAACGTAGTCAAACACTGCTGTTCAGCAGAAACGCCGTGATATGTCAACGAGACGGGCAGTTGTGCTTCATGTTCCGCGTGGGCGACGTGAGGGAAAAATCACGACTGATCGGGACCACGATCAGGACGCGGTTCATTCGATCGCGCGTGACGCCGGAAGGAGAGACGTTATCGCCGAACGTTACGCACTTGAAAGTGAGACGGAATAACGATGCAATTACCTTCACAACACGTCCTCCGACCCCTTAATCGGAATCGATGAAGAGAACGTTTCACTTTTGTGTGCCGCGCTTAAGAAAGGTTGCAAATTCTATGAATCCATAGACTTATCGATGGTTACAACAGTAACGGTATTTCAAAAGAATTTTAAAAAACACGTGAACGGAGAATCGATGCAAAATAATTGATGAGACTATTAAAATCTTATCACTTCATTATTATTGGTCAAGTATCTTGTTGGTCAATCGATTCTTATTTATTTGGTTGTAGATAACTATTTTCGTTTGATCTTCACCGAACGTCTACATTACCAACTCTCACCGCACGGCCATACATCATAATTATAGTTTTTTTCTGCTAGAATTACAATTGCCAACAATCGTTTTCATCCCAAAGTCAACTAATAATGTGTTTGTAACAATATTTTAATCATTATAACACGATTCGTATACGTATATAAGGTTCTTTTAGGTTCCAAAAATAATGTGGTTTTATTAACCATAACTTATTACTATTATGTTTATAAATAATCAGAGATCCATTCTCATAATATTTATACCCAGAACTATATGAAATTCGTATTCTGGATAGGAACTTATTTGAAATTATTATAATTTAGTACAGGTTAGATGTATTAGTAATAATAGTATTATTTTCAAATGTCTCTCCTAGTATGCACCGTGATTGGAATCGACATTATATTATCTAAAGAAATAAAGCGACGATCGTAATAAAATAGACACACTGACCGCTGATGTATTATCATGACAAACGATCGTTTGTTATGATTAGCAAACGTAAGTGAAACGTTCCATCAATCGAGAACAATATCTTTGTGACCACTGCGTTGTGTGTAGAGGATTAAGTTGATTGGCAGCAATGCATAGTAAAAAAATGTTTGTTAACTACTGTAATATTATTACCGGGGTTGGGATTTTATAGCATTTACATATTTCTTATGAGATAGTTAAAAAATAACAGAGTAAGCTAAAAATATGTGTCATGATACAGAGAACTTAAATAAAAAATTGTATTTTACTTTTTTTTTTTTGCATATTTTGTATTTTTTAGTGCTTTTTTTTTGGATTTTTTGAAACTTTTTTGCACTTTACCTGTATTTTAATCGAAGTCGGATATATTTTATGGAATTGTATTTTAGTAAACGTGTTTTTTGATTTTATCAATCGAATTTTCAGTAAATGTTAAATGTTTAGATTAAGTAAATAGACCAATTATGCTGATGCAACGCTGTACAATTACAGCGATAATATATAGGTAGGTATAATATAATTTTACGATAATTTAGTTTTAGTTATTTGGTTCTAATTTATGTTATTTACTGATTTTGTTGGTTTCTACTAAATCTACTAATAGCCAATTATCAACGAACGATTGTAAAATTCGTTTTATACAGTCTACATTCGTCTCTTGTGCTCGTACAAAATTATTAAATAATACATTTCCTTTTTTTTTTTTGCATATTTTGTTGTTTTTATTGCATATTTTTAGAGCTTATTTAGCGATTTTTAAAGTAATATTATAGGGCATATTTATGCAATTTTAAGTGCTATAAAATCCCAACCCTGATTATTTACCATTAAATTTAATTAAATTTTGACGGTATACGTTCACTAGATAAGAAACAATATCATATTTGATCGATAACAGAACCTTTGTTAATTTTTTTTATTTTTTTTTTTACCCAAAGAACCGGAACCGAACCGGAACGGTTATTTCTTTTTTCCAATAACAGGTAACACTGTTAATCCGAACGGTTCCGGTCCCTGTCCCGCCCAGAACCGATGGCTAAAACGGTGCCGCGTATGGTTTCAGGTGTCCGTCGACGACTTCGACGAGGAAATGTTCCTGATGTGGCCCACGGTGGTGGTGCACAAGATCGACAAGCAGAGCCCGATGTACGGGATGAGCGCCGCGGCGTTGCTGAACGAACGGTTTGAGGTGACGGTGGTGCTGGAAGGCACCACCGAGTCGACGGGGCAGACCACGCAGGCGCGCACCTCGTACCTGGCCTCGGAGGTGCTGTGGGGCCACCGGTTCCGGCCGCTGGTCAAGTACTGCAAAACGAAGCTGTCGTACGAGGTCGATTACTCGCAGTTCCACGACATGTGCAAGGTGGACACGCCGCTGTGCAGCGCCAAGGACCTGGAAGCGTACCTGACCGTCAACGAGTCGAACCGATGATGCGCGGGCGTGCGCCGCTGCCCGTGAATTGCGTCCCAAAAATCCTTTTTTCCGCGTGAACTGCGCCCCGACCGTATTTAACGACTACGCGAATCGCGTCCCTACGTAAGAACATTATTTCCCTTCACAATTACGTACAGACTTAGGACTGCCGTTTGCAAATGATAACTGTCGGCGGGTAGAAAATATCGATTTCTGTCGTTGTTACGCGCAATTAGAAATAAGTCAAATGTAAATATGTATGTTCAAACTACAGGAATGTAATATAATAAAATCAAAATAAACAAAATAAAACTATTATTAATATGAAATTAAAAAAACTGGTAAAAACTTAATTGCAATCAAGACGGGTTAATCCGACCACTTGCATAGTTTGCCGCGTTCTGTCTGAAATGATCATCTTTTTCTTGTGTAAAACGTATTATTAAACTTGGAACGGAAAGCTTCACAACTATTCGTAGTTCGAATCGAAGAACATGAATACAGAAAGTGGGCGGTCACAATCAGGCTGTATACGTAATACAAATTGTATATAAAATCGGAAAACGATTTTTTATATATATATGTACATAAAAACTGTCCGGAAAAATCGCCGCCCTAGGCGTGGGCCTATGTCGCCTACCCCTCGAGCCGGTTAGCCCGACGACGACAGTCGAACAGGGATCCAAGACGGGAGAACACGGTGCACGTTGTTGCAGTGGCCTGCGAGCCCACGTGACCGAATGCGAACGAGATGCGCGATAAGTGCGGGTAAGGTGCGGTTACCTCGCGAGTTTCCGGCGCCATTACAACGTGATCGAACGACGTGATACGGAACAATCGTTAAACGCGATGTTTCCCAAACGTTGACGCGTGTGCCCACGCGCTGCAGCTGAAACACAATAGCGGTCGAACACGCGGTCGCGGTTTCGTTTTATTGTGCACCGACCACGATCTCGAGGTATGTCGTCAGGGGCGTCACCCGATTGCGGCCCAAAGTAACCCTTTTACCTTTTCACCTATCCCGATTGCGGCCCGTACATATCAGGTAGGAATTACTATTCAAGTGGTTATCAAAACCAAATAAATATCCCAATTGCGTCCAATACGTATTTTGACATCGTATTCACGATTCACACGATAACCAATATTCGGCGTGGTAATTTCCATAGATGTATACAACAACTATTTAACTATTTTTTTACTGTAGACAATTTATTATTTTAATATTCGACTATTTATTGACTATTTACTGACATAATTGTATTTCATATCTTTATATATTGTAAAAAATTTATTATTTTGTTATTTTACTATTTGTTACTGCAATCTTGTAATTATACTTTTAACATAAATATTAAACATTTTGTGAACCAATGTGTGTCCGGACGCAATCGGGATACTTATATTTGGGATAAAATACGACTGCCTGGATTCGGGCCGCAATCGAGCAACTTTGGTCGTCAGCGCGCGGTCATCGCGGTATCAAGGTATACGCCGTCCACACGTACGCATCGTACGGATCGTATGAAACGGATCTTAGAGTTATTAGTATAGTGAGTTATACGACATGTGCGTGTCCACTGACCGGCAGGGGACGGATCGCACGTATCGGACGCAAATTTATCGAAGGGGCAACTTTTCCGGCCGGTGCGGATGACGTCATACGGATTTCGCTACGATGTTACTAAAAAAAAAAAAAAAAAAACCCGACCGTCGCATCGGCAATACGATTGTTACCGGTACAGTGGACGCACTACCGCAATTCGATCCGTTTCATACGATCCGACCGATACGTACAATGCGTACCTTTAAGATCCGCTCGGCACCTACGTCCGACGACGTCCGTCCGTGGGCGACGCGAGATTTTTTCCGACTCCGGTTCACCGCGGGGACACAACTGTGCCCGGAAACAGTTACCGCCGAACCGGAGCGCAACGCGCGAACGATGAAATACTCCTGGGTACCGCCAGCGGCGACGAACCGTATTCTATTTGGTGAAGTATAAAAATTTGTTAATACCACCGCCCAAAAAGTTAGACCAAAATGATGACAGGTTACACGATCGAATGATTATACTGTAAGTTTAATCATCATAAAGTCGCTCACTTCGTTCGCGATTTATCACTCCATTTTCGTCTGTTAGGTAGGTACCATTCGGCAGTGACGTATCCGGGGGGGGGTTAAAGATTTATAACCGACAGCCCGCACTATTAAGTCTATTTAAGAATACGATTGAATTTATTGTTAAATGTGCCCCTTAAAACAGCACATAATAATAACAATAATAATATAAATTATGATCTAGTAAAATGCCTCATATTTTATTATAAATCAATAATCATACAGATTGAAAATTATAATTATAAATCAGATATTAATTATTGCCTATTTACCTTAGGTACTTATTGCTTACCTACTTCATAGTGGTTTTAGAAAAAAATACTTGATATCGATTTGAAGCGTATATAAATATAGGTTTAATTATTTAAATATTAAATACGTTATTAAAATTAAAGAAATGTAAAACAAAAAAACAGTTTATTTCATTTTTTAAACAACTGTAATTTAAAAAAAGATGTTTTAAAAAGGTTTCACGGGGCGATTTGTAATTTACTATCTTAAAATGTTTAAAGGATATATTTGCATGCTGTATAATCACTTTTAAACACTGAGAACCAAGAGGCGTTTAGCTTCATCGTGTGTGTGAAATAGATATAAATGTCAATGCACGTCTCTATACCTACTTGTTATGGTATAAAGACATGCATTGATAAGCGAATTGCTCTATATCATCATAGTATTCTACCATCTACCAGATCGATTATCACTAAATTTGTTCATTCTTAAGGTTTACTAACTTGAGTGTACATTTTTCCACCCACACAACCCACCCCATACCCTCCCAAACACCCACCACCATAGTTAAATGAAGGGGCGAACTGCCCCATAAAATTAAGTGTTCGGCGCCACTGGGTACCGCCTAATGTTCCTCGAATAACGTACCGGTACGAACGGACCCTGTCTAATGCATCTCAAACGTTTTCGCGCGGCTCTATCGCGTTACGACGAGCGTGTTTAACATACAATCGCGTATGTGTTTTTAAACCTACACCGCTTTGTCACGAAACGAATTCGTCGCGTTTCCGTTCCGTTTCCAGTTACTCTCGTACAAATGAAAAAACTTACGCCGAACGAAAATGGTAGTCGGAAGACGATTTATTTGAAATAAATGAAAATTTACAACTCACCAACTTCACTTAAAATATTAGAATAAATATCAAATTAAAATACTTATATGACATGGAAACACAATATGTTTATAAAAATGGGTTACGATTATTGCAAAATTTCATCAATTGCACACGAAGAAAATGATACAACGTAATATCTTCTGTATGTATGGCAAACTCATAATTATGTTTAAAAATACAAACGAAAAATATTGTTTTTAAAATCATAATAAAAGATACTGGAGATCTTTAACGCTGTTGTAAGTAATACAGTAATATCCGACCGGTTTCGGTTATCATTTTTATGTTCATGTCATCTATTCAAAACATTTATCAATATTAAAATAAAATTGGCCTAATAATGATAATATATTATTAGCATTTATAAACTAAATATTAAAAATTATATTGTTTGACCTAAAAATGCATGGATACATTAATAAATATACAACAATGATGCATGAATAAAAATTGTACAAAATAAAATAATGATTGTATAAAAAAAAAAAAAAATGCCTAAATACTAAAATTCAAACAGAGATAACATAATATTAGTTAAAAAGGGTTTTTTTTTTGTTTTTGAGCAACTTAGGTGGAATATCTGTTTGTCAAGTATGATATATGAGCTTAAAAGCGTCTCTATAAATTAGTAATAAATTATTGTTTTAAGATCATACAGATGCGACCGTCGAATATTTATAAGAAAAAATCTTTTTAATATGTATGATCATAAAGCAATAGAGTTTATAATGTCCGACCAAATACAATACGAAAGAATAAGTTCGCAGTCTTCAATGTTTGACGACAGTATCTTTTGGTCGAACATTAAACCAATACGAAGCTGACTGATTGATTTTTCAGCCGCGTTTAGTAATTGTAGTGGCCGGCGTATTGTTGTTGTTGTCCGTGGTAGTAAGGTCCGGATGGATACGCGTTCGGTTGTGGGTATCCTGCGTATGCGTACTGCTGTTTCTGCGGATATACTGTAAAACAGAAACAATATTATTTTCAAGTCTCCTTTTCCTTTTTTTTTTTTTTTTAATAAATATTCACCGCCCACTTTTTTTTTTTGTTTTATAATAACTCGAAAATTCTAACGTATATATATTAATGTCTATAAAAAGTGAGTGAATTAACGATCACGAACCGTAATTATTTAGAGGTCGAGCAAGTTACACGACGACAACTGGTTGGAAAAAGTTCGGGTTGATTTTTGGACCAAGGTGAATGCGCACACGATCCATCGGATTTCATTGTTATTCCTATACTACGATGTGTTCTTATTAGATATTTCAATATCATAGTCAACTATGTTGTATTTTATTTCGCACATAACGCCCTTGATATTTTGCAAACAAGTTAGTGCGTTTCCTTCACATAATATATATTTTCCCCAAATCTTAAACACATACATATCGCAATAATTTTGGATCGAAATTTAGTAACAATACAATATTGTACATCATATTATTACGATTCGGATGGCTACGCTATAATATAATGTGAAACGCAGTATCGATAAAAAATATCCGCTCGAAATACGACTGCGAAATGTGTTTTTTATGAGACCTGGGATATTATGTATTATGTGAATATTAACAGACTTGTTTTTAAAACGTCAAGGGCGTTATGCGTTGTTGATGCGAACATCTTTATGGTGATTTTTAATATACCGGCACACAGATATCGAGTGTTTGCATATATACGTCAGTAATAAAGACGATTATTCGAGTTTGAACTTGAAAAAAAAAACTAACGCAAGGTCCCAGATTTCCGTACTCGCAGCACATTAAAACGGATCACGCCAAGTGCGAATGCAAATATAAAACGGGGTGTCGTAACGAGGTATTTGTTCTAAACTATGGGTCGGCCCTTATAATCCTCCCCGGATCTCGGTTCGGGAGAGATTTCGACCACGCGATACAACCCGGCAAGCGTAAATATCACACGGAATACGTATATAAACTGACCGGGCATCAGGTATTGCATGTTGAGAGCCTCTTCCCTTTCGCGTTCGCCTCGCAGACAGATGGCCGCGCCGGAAAACAGCAGAGCGGACACCAGTGAGAACCCGACGCCGGTCCACGCCATGAAGAACGACCAGTCGTAGGACACGCGAGTGTTTTCCTTGAGCACCTGCAACGGACGGTTTAACAAACGGTTAACGGCGTAACGCGGCGATCAACAAAATTTCGACCTAAACCTGCCGAAGGACTTACGTTGTTCCACTGCTGGTAGAATTCCTCTCCTACCACGCGCTCCTTCTCGTAGTACTCCACCCCGTGCCAGAAGCCCATGGCACCGGCGCTCAGCAAACCTGCGGAAAACAGAAACGGAATCGGTTTTTTATCAGCGCTATATGTACCGGAGGATTGTTTTCGAGGATCGGACGGCTTACACGCTAGGAGCACCAGGATGGCGGTGGCCGTGATGTTGCCGGGCGATCTTCTCCAGCATCCCGCGACCCCGGTCCAGAAGGCGACGAACATCACGAAAAAGCTCACTATGAACAACGCGATCGTCGACCTGCCCATGTCTAAACAGCAGCAAACGACCAACGATTATCATACGTAAATCACCACGCTGCCGCGTCCCGTCGGCGCACCGATCGATACTTACGCAGTCTGGTCATGGCGTCTTCGGAGAACTCGTGCGTCTGGTTGTCCGTGTCCAAGAAGAAGTAGTCGACGTTCATGCAGTGCGTCTCGACCGGGCTCAGGTACGTTTCAACTGGAAAACAGACGCGTTTCGTTTTTAAAATCAATCCGTCGCAACGATATTGTTGTTATTGCTCTCTGCAACGGGGACACCTAAGAACCTAACTACACCGCTCGTCGACCTAAGTGGACGGTATTGTTCTGGGCTCTCTTTTTTTTTTTCAGATTTATAATTCGTTAACCCGCCCGACAACAGCGCAGCACGAATTAATTAATACAGTTAGTTGTAATCCATTCAACGACCTTCGACGGAGACACATTCATTAAGCACGTTGCGCAATTTCCTTTTTTTTTAATTTTCATTAATTAAGCATTTATGTTGGATACCTGTTATTTTTCAGTACCACGCTGCGCAATACGGTTTTATTTTTCTCCTAACACCGTATTGCACTACAATTAGTCTATATTATATTATATTTTAACATAATATCTCGTTAAACGTTATTACAATTATTGTACAACGAACAACGTTTTAATTTATTGTAAAGCAAATGTATTCAACAATTAAAACTGCAAGAAATACATTTGTATATATTGTAATGTAATTATTCGTGAAAAACACAAGTTTTAATTTCCGCATTTCGTTTTTATGATTACAATAATATTATTTACTAATTATCCTGTATATAATATAGTTACGCTGTTATTAAGCTTTCGGTAAATGGTACGAGTGCCTAGTCATTTCATTGAACCTAGTTGAAATATTGAGTTTGTTAACTGTAAAATTTAACCGATTATAAATGTTATAATTATACTATCCGTTTTCTAATTAAAATACCTTGAAATAGAATTTAAATCAATTATGATTGCCACTCACTATAAAAACCTAAACCAATCATTTTGGTGAACGATCATCTATCACAAGTAATGAGATATTGGTAACAGAAACGATTTAACAAATAATGTAAAGGAAGAAATGTTCTATAAATTTTCCTTTTTTTCACAAAAAGGTTTATCCGTTCAATTGGGTACAAATTAAGTCTACACAATTAAATTCATAGAACGGAGAACTCGTTATGAATTTATTTATTTATTTTTACATCATTCCTCATACTGTCTCAATTTTGAAGCGTTCATTTTCGATGAGACAATCTTTGTGATTTTTTTTTTCTTTTATTATTATTTTCCTTTTAGTCACAATGCTCCAGATACGTTTTAAATTTAAAGAAAAGTCTGTTTGAAATTATTCTTTTTTTTTTTATTATTGTTATCATTATTATTCGTTTTCCCAGACGTTTAGTAAAAAAACAAAACAGTTATTAGTGCAAAATGTACACATTTAAGCGGACGAATAGTGTGAAATTATGAATCTCACACGATCACTTTCTATCGGCCTGTAAAACAAAAAGAGAAATATACACCATAATATATAATATTGTCTTCGTATATAGACATTGGAAGGAAAAAAATTCCTCCATAACGTTCCCCCTTATGGCTTTTTCTTTCGTTCTCTTCGTTTAAGCATGTCTCTATACGAGTGCGCACAGACACGCATGAACACACATACACACACGCGCGCGCGCGCGCGCACGCACACCACACACACATGCTTACAAACACACGGTGAACACACACACACAATGTGCCACTAAACATGACCTTGGTCGACGTCCTACAGAAGCAATAATGGGGCATTGATGGAACCGGTTGTCGGCGAGGCGCGCACGCACGCGCATGGAATGTGGGCAAGATTCACTGAGAACCGGTACAGGCAGCTGATGCTGAATGCGGACACTCCTAAAAAAAAAAACCAAGAGCCCCAGGATGTCGGTGGGTTTCGTGCTAAAACGATCGTGATGGCTATAATAAATACATAGGTGTTTCCTATGTACTGCTGCAAGCAACGAGCGACAGAAATATTTCTCTCGAGAAATACTCGGTTTCTAGTTCTAAGTTCTACTCGGGCGCAAATTAATACTTCAACGTATCATTATCATAATGTTGTTGCGTTAAAAGATGACCGCCGCTCGGCGAATGCACAAAACGATCACGAGAAACGATGGAGTGATACGAAACTGTTAACGCGTGTCCCCGAATTTTATGGAAATCCAAAAATTATTAATTGCACGGTGAACGAATGTTCGGTCTCGCAGGAAAACGTGATTGTTTAAGACAACGCTCGAGATTTACATTTTTGTATCGCGCACTGCATTCATTTACTATCGCAGAATATGTTCGGTTATCTCATGATTATGACTTATATAGTAAACCATTTTTTAATTATCCTACAGATTTTGATTGTTTGTGATCGTTTTGATAACGAAAGCAGTAGAAGTATTATAAACATCGAAGTATGCGTTAGATAATATTGAATACGAGCTGATAGTACATAGTCGAAGTAATAATATTTTTTTAAGTTTTGATAAAAAAACATAATATCAGGCGCGTAAATATTATTTTCATTGATCAATTGATATCGCACGCGCTTTGATAAAATAACTAACGTTATTGAAAAGTAAAAAGAAACCCAATTAAAGCATGTGAATGTCAGTGACAGTCAAATATTTCATGATTGACTGCAAAGCGTATTTAATAATCAGGAATGATCATAATTATATCCGTACAAATCTATTGGAAGTACTCGGCCCGGGTCTGACGACGATCGAGAGTGGCGTTTTTAATCAAATTTAGCCACTGGCTATAACAGATGCATTGATATTATCCAATAGAAATAAATAATGGTAATCAGTATAAATACATTTTAAAGTGATAAATGGACCAGGGTATACTTCAAAACTAAAAAACATTTACTATGTATCGGTTAGGTTAGGCTAATATTACTACCATTACGTAGCAAAAAATATATCCATTCGTCTTAAACCAATCTTATAAATTAAATACTATACATAGGACTATATAGCAAGAATTATGTTATTGGCTACAGATTTATATCCGTATATCAGAATATAAAATATAGGCAACGTATACGTATATTGTTATACCAAAAAATGTATTTGTTTATATATTATATGAACATAATTAAATAAACGGCATGAAAATAATAAACTTGAGTTTGACTTAGGCTATAAGTATACAACATTACTTGTTAAATACGGCTTTGGTAATTTATTTGTTAATGGCCTACCAGAAGTGACATAATTAGAACATAATTGTTGTTTAATTATTCATACTAAATACTTTACAAGGTTATATAACACTCGACCAACAAGACCAACAAGACCAACAAAAACATTTGAATCGTAGAATTTTACTAATAACTGTTACTAAAACGTATATTTTCAAGTCGTAAAATGAATTTAATAAGAAAAAATCGATACACAATTGTATTTATTTAATTGAAAGCCCAAAGCAACTAATATAAATCTTTACCAACACAGTTGCGTGACCAAATGATTACGATAGAGTCTCCTTGGTTTTATATTCATCCTTTCATATTGTTATTGATCGAATTATAATATTATGTTAATGTTTTACAGGAACATAATATTTCAGATGCAGACACGTTATTAAGCAGATGTAAAAAAAACAAGTATCTATGTAAAACATATTTTAAAAATCAACTTATGACCAGTCCTGTTCTAACGGTAAAAATTTCAACCCGCGATAGTGTCGTTTATTATTTAATACCTAGTAAATTATACTCAAAAAGTAGGTAACGAGTATGTACCAACATTATTCCATCCTTATAAAAATTATTTCGCATCGTGCATGTGAAATTTATATGCAATTGCAATAAATTTCGATCAGTTTTCTAATATTGTACTGTTCGCTATGAGTATTGTTAGTAGACTGTATACAGTAAAAAATATGTTATAACATATTATGTGCGTATACATATTGTACTATCGAACAATAAAGACAACAGTGAAAACATTATCAATAAATAATACCAAATGTTATAGGATTCGACCAACTGCTAAACAACACAAATCTACACATGCGTGGGCAGAATTAAGTATTATTGGATATTACTGTTAGCGAGATTAGTGAAGTACTTATTTTTCTCCCGTTGAATTGTTAACGCTATTAAATTGAAAACAAAAGTGTGTAGAATAATATTTCATTAATGCAATAATTGATTTCTACGAAACTTTAATGGATAGATTATTTAGCACAAAGAGAAAATTACGAGACGAATGATGCGAGTTTCGGTATTGAAAAAACGTCGTCGATGGTTTCCAATATTTGTCATAAACCGCAAACAACGAAAACAATACTAAAACGATACCTACCACAATTAACCGAAGATTCTGGGATGGCTGATCGAACGAGGTTCTTTTGTACCACATTATAATTATTTTTAGTTTAATTTTTTTAGATTGTGCAAAATATTAGGAATACTATAGAGATACTATACGTGTAATCAATGCGAGTTTAACGTAACGCGAATCATAGCGAACAAATGTGAAAGTCGATAAGTACTTGCCGAAATATGTACTTGAAATAATTTCTAAAGTTTTTATTTTCAAAAAATATTAGAAAACAACAAAAATAATTTTTACTTCATAGAACAAAACAAATAACCACATCACGTGAATATAAATTGGTGTTAGCTAAAAGTAAATTTTTTGTCAACGGCAATTGTTCTAAAATTCACAAATAATTTCAACATTACATTTGCATTTCTGTAAACGTAACACTGTTTTATTACAAAGTTTTAAAATAAATGACTTAACATTTTTGTAGGTAAACAGTAGATATGATTATTTTTAAAAATACATGAATAAGTAATAAGAATAATATAGGTATGATGTCATAATGTTTAGATGAAAAATCAGTATTGTTGAAAAATCTTACCCAGACTTGTACAGATGAACACTGGTAGATGACAATACACATAATCAGTAATACCTAAGATTTTCGAGTCAATTGTTTTTATTATTATATAAATATTACTAAATTATAATTCTTATGTAATTGAGTTCTTCTCTAAATGGATACGAGGGAGGCTTGAGGGTTAATCAACCAGATCTATAATTATTATACTTTAACTAATAAATATTTTCTCAGTGCTCAGGTCATCTTTTTTATACTTTTTTTACAACAATGTTTTATACAAACATAAACTTAAATTTCCCCTGTGCCCCCCCTGGCTAGTTCACTCTCGGAGTTCTTCTTACCCGTAAATAAATAAATAAATAATACAATATTATCACACTGCACACTGAACTCGCGGTTATATTATGTTTCAGATAACAAACGGTACGATTTACTTTTGAAAAACGTGATTAAAAATAGCCAATCCTGGCCGATCGAGAGAAACGTTGCACGTGTTTTCTAAATCGTAATTATGCGTTAGAACCAGATGAAAGCAAAGACGTATATAGTCATATAGTCTTTTCTTCGGTTGATGTTTATTTTTTTTTCCAACGCGAGACTTATGCATAACAAAAAAATCCTTGACCAACACACACACACACACACCGTTAGAAACGTCGGTGGTGATCTATTGTTGTTCGCTGGTTCGGTTTCGTGGGAGCAACGTGCAGCGTGGAACTCGTGGACACCGTTGGGGTGACGTAACGACGGACGTGAACACTGCTATTATTGCGACAGTTGTTCGGCGATGTGTATAGTGTATACACTAGAGCGGAGAAAGAAACATAGCTCACGAGTGTATTATTGTTTGTTATCATTATGTACGCTCTCGCTGGGCGAAAAGTATAAAAATAACGTCGGTAATTAATAAACGAAATTTTCTAACGTAGATTAACGGTCATGCGAAGTGAATATGCGACGACGTAAATGGAGCGTACGTAACTAATAACGAATACGTGTGCGTATTTGTGTGTGTGCGTGCGTACTTGTGAACGATATAAGTTCTGTTGAATTGAAAATAATAAAGTGAACGTGTAGGAGCGCGTTCGAACAGTCACGCGGTAACTGGTCACCGCGTTAACGGCGATTTCATGACTGCTAGGAAAGCATTGAGAAAATTCTAATCGATAAGATAATATTGTCATTTCTCGTGCAGCCGCCAATGGTCCGCGGATCAAATCCGTTAACATTGGCACAATTATGGGGGGTGGGTTTTGGGGAGCTTGGTACCCCTAAATACTTCGATAGCTCTCTCACATGGAAAATATTGAAGCACTAATTAGCAACCTTAAGTAAGTCTCCAAAGAGAGTTTACTCATGACAAGTTCAGTTGACTGTTTTATTAAAATGGATTTTGTTGGGTTTATATTTTATAAATCATTACAAGGTTAGTATTATAATTTTGAATAATATTTTTTTCTAAATAAATTTATTGTAATATTTAATTTTTTTTTTTAGGATGTTTTAATAATAACTTAATGTGCTTTAAAACCAGAAATGACTGTAGCAAGAAACTGCATGGAAACTATAAACCTGATTTTGATATCAATGATATTAGTGAAATTATCGAAAACCATGTTTATCCCAATCTGTATAAGTTGTTACAAGTAGCAATAAGTATTCCCTGAGCTCAGCTACGCGCGAAAGAACGAGGCGTATTAAAAATTGGTTACGAACCAATATGCTACAAGACCGTTTTACAGATTTGGCTGTTCCGAATATTGAGAGAGATGTTGTTAACTCGATAAATAATGAAAATATTTTAGAAGTGTACTGTACTAAAGACAGAAAATTTTTATTAAAATGAAATTAAAATTTTAGAGTTTAATTTGTATATATGTATTATTAACTTGTGAACTACGGTCGATTTGTTTGAGGGGGGGGATAATGAAAGCTAGCCTTACTTAAATGTAAACGAAACCTATAATATTTAGTATTGATTGTATATTGACGTATAATATTATATGGGGGTGTGGGGGCGCAGCCGCCGCAGGTCTGTGTTATATTTTCGCTAAAAAGCCACCCCCCCACACAAAAATAAACCCTAGTTGCGCCTATGTTCGTTGACGCACTCGTTCGTGGCGGCGTCAAATCGAGTTACGACGGATCGTTTGAATAATACGTTTAACGTGCCTCGTGACATTGAGCCGAACATTCGTAATACAGGCCGCGCCCTCGACACGACACGACCAGAGAGACGCCAACAGATGTCCACGCCAAACGGTAAAACAATGGTTTTACAAAAACCATTCGACTCGAAGCGATTGTCTTCGTTCCCCGTACTTCCTCGGTGCGTTAGTTCGGACGTATAACGAATCATTAACTTTTTTTATATACGTATACGTTGCATACGAACCGTACACGGTTTTCGATTCGTTTTATTGGAACGCAAAGAGTATTTACAATACGCAGTCTTTGGAAAGAATAACGTACAGCAGAATAATGTAAGTGATGTTTTTCAACGCACACGAGTTGACACAATTCCGGTGTGTGTTATTAACGTTTGCCATTTCCACATCGGATTAACGTTATGATATATGAATACAGACGAATTTAAATATCAATATTTATAGTTTATCGTGCAAAATCTTGTAAATAAAAATAACTACCAACTACAAAACAGTAATAAAAAAATAATAACAATAATAATAATAATAGTAATAATAGAACGATCGAATTATGTATTTGTGTTTGCCTTCGACTTCGTCCAACCCAGTTGGAATAATATTACATACACTTCACATCGATTACAGCCAGCCAGGTATTTTCGCGAATTATTGCTATTAATTTTTTCACCTTTTAAAGGAATTTATGCGAGTGATTATTTTTACCCGACAACCGATTTTTTTTTAACCTGTATTGACGACTATATAGCTAACGATAAATAAATAAACGTGACCGGTAACCCGATAAACTGATTTTACCGTATCGAATTACCAAACTAATAAAAATTTACCCTCTCCGGAACGTGATTTGATTTTTATTTACCTATATGCAGGGGGTAAATAGTATTATGCTTACCACTCGGAGGTCTTTCCTTGGGATAGCATATTCTGAAAAGACCCTTCGTTCTAGTGTAGTAATAATATTTGTTCATTTGTTCGGCCGCCGAGGATGGTCCGCGCTGTTGGACTGTATTCTGTAAAAAAAAAAAAAACGTAGAACAGGTTAAAATCAAAACTGTGTTAAGGCTGAATTTTTTACCGGTACCGCGTTATTTGTGAAACAATATTATAATTGTTTCATAAAATTTACATTCATACATGTTTATATAATGATGCCTAATTTCGTACAAAATAATAGTTGTTTTTTTTTTTTTTTTTTTTTTTTATTATTATTGGAAACGTAAGTGTGTTTATTTTTGTTATTTAATAACTATCACAAATCGAAAGATTACGACGGCATGCGCACATTTAATTTCAATCGCACTATCGTCGACTTGCCGTTACAACACTGCAGTACAAGATAATAGTATAATATAACATTATTCAATTACGATATCGTTTCAACAATAAAAATCGCATTCAATAACCTTCGAATGGGGCTAATACGACTTTGATGAACATTTCGTTCTAGATTCTGAAAACATAACATGTTCTATAACATAGAAAGTAATCATTGAAATTTGTTTAGGATGTCATGATAAACGTATCTATTTAATATTATTGTATACATATCGAGTTCGGGTGAAATACATTGAAAGAAACTTGAAGTATTTATCAGCTATTAACTTGCGCCCAGGATAATGTTGTTTTGTAAACATATTGTTGCGTTTGTTTATTTTACCAACCAATTTCTCGTTTTTGAAATCGGGTTTCGATAAAAACGGTATATACGTTATTTTAATTATTCGATGAAATCGACCCACTTTGGTTCTCTTTTATTTATTTTGTATTTTGTATTCTTTTTTTTGTCATTCGGCTTTGTATTGCTGTCAAAATAGTTTCGGGTCTATTATTTTGGCCATATCGTGATTTTCCTCGGATTTGGAAACAGAGGGGAGTAAGTGTAGTGAGTGACCTCTCCGCCGCAGCATAGTCGAAATAACGAGTGTTTTGTCTTTTTTTTTTTTTTCTGTAACGCTTCAATTGCACGACCCATCGAGACCAATCGGAAAATAACCTATAAAATATTTACACGCGTCTACGACTATACACGTCCGGCAGCAGTTCGGTGGTATCAACAGAGATTAGATCCGATAGTTGCGCATTACTCTTGTTTCGGACATAGCTAAATGTACCTATAAGCATTCCACTAAATGTTTTGTCAAGGAATCATAAAATTCGATTCTAAAGATTTGATAACTCGTAGACATCTATATATTGTTTGTTAAATATTATTTTATAGATCAAACGATCGTGAGCAAATTTACTAATTGTTGACGGTAAATATACGTTAACCGATAGAAGAAATATATTTTACCGTTACAGCGCGATACGACACAATATTAATCAACCATTACGAAAATCTGCAATATAATTCGACGTTATAAATATTACATTTCTCTTGTAAATGCCTAATCTTCGAGGATTGAGTTCGTATCTGTTATACACACGCCATATGCCGACTGTCAATTATTTAATTTTTCTGCGATACACTCAATTCTAAATAGGTCGTATTACGATGATACGGGAACGATTTAATCGGTTCGTTTTCACGTAGACTCCACAGCACATTTCGATCTAAATAATAAACGCAAATCGCTCGTGTTCAACCCGAATTCAGATATTTTAATATACGTACATGTATGTGTGTACAAGATTAACGTAATTTACGATTCGATGAATGGTTATTATTATGGTTATTCGATTGGGTTATGAGTCGTTCACTTGTTCGAGATATTATGACCGTTCCCGTCGTATCCGTGCACAGTTTTGCGATTAAAATAATAATATTGGGTCAGTCGAATACGTGTTGCGCATTCGCATAATTGTTTTGCGCACTCATTAGTGTTGGCGCTTTGAATGTTACGAAATAGTATAACACTACAATCACACGGGGCATGGAAAATGCGAAAACGATACGGTTATTCCGACGGCCATTCGGGGCGCGATGGTGGACGACGTATGACGACGAACGATCATTGCTATTCATATATTTATCGTCGTAATCAAAAAATCCGCTCGAACGAACGAGAATATTGCATTATCGTTGTGATCGATTCCATACGGCTTCTTGTTTCCGATGCAACACACGCTCCCCTCCCCCCCCCCCCCCCCCCCCCCACCGGTTCGTTCGTGTCCGATACTTCGACCGGGAAACAACTGCACGGATAATTGTTTGAATTAACCCCGTGTTCCATATTCCATGTGCAGGGCCGGCGAGAGGGTGGGGCAGGGAGGGCTAGGGCCCCGGAGCCGTTACGTCCGAGAGGGCCCGTCGTCTTGGGCTTTTATACAATATTTTTATTGAACCAAAATATGTACAAGTAGATATGTGTATAAACAAGTGCGAATAAAGGGGGCCCCGGAGCCCTGAAAAGTTCTCGCCAGCCCTGTCCACATGCGTGGTCGAACGGTCGTCGTTGCGAAACGACATTGCGCTCACATTGCGCGACACCTAAACAATAACAGCGGTCGTTTCCGGCTGGAAGTGCCATCGTTTCCGGTGAGTTCGTCGGTGTGCAGACGTAAAAAACTTCTCAAGAAACCGCTGCCGATAGCTCAATGACCTTAGAATATTCTGTACAGCGTCTGAGCCGGTTGCGAGTGCGTTCACGACGCTGACGGAATACGTTATGCGCTGAAAAGAATGCGTCTGTCCCGTCGACGATAAACATCTAAACGATAAACGGCTATTGTATCGCAACGATAATACAGTTGTCCGACGGAGCGTGTTGCGTTTTTCGATATTGTTCATTCAATACGTTCGGTTATATTTTTATTTTTTTATCGTCGTCATTAAATGTACGCATGTTTAACGTTTTGTGTTCATCGCGGTTGTAACTCCACGGACGTAACGGTAACGGACGCGATGAGGATAACAGTCCGTGCACGCGCCGGTCCGCAATGAGAATTTCGACGGATTACTGATTTCCATTAACCGCTCTGGTTGTTCACAAGCACTCTACATAATGTACGAGTTGGTTACCTAGGTGCACACGGCGTATGCGTATAAAACACTGCAGCTAACACATTACGCAACGTGTACGCGTTCTTAAATACATTCAAGTTATTAGTATATTATACGCATAACTGCAGACGTACCCGACGAATAGTTTTATTATTATATATATATATATATATATAATATTATTATTATTATTATTATTATTTACACGCGTATAATACACACGTTAAATCGTTGGTTTTGGGTAATTTATATATATATATATATATATATATATATATAATTTTTTTTTTTACAATGTTAAACTAACGATGCTGTGTCGTCATTATTATCGCGTGCTAAAAAATGTTTGTACTCTACTGATTCCGCGCTGCCCCGAGATTGAACGATTTCGAAAACCATTGTTGGACCGTGTGATGAAGGCGAATCAAACGTAATGTGTCGACATAATAATATTGTAGACGCGCTATAGGATTGCCGAGTAGAAAACACCGAGAACGATTATTTCTGTTGTGTACACAAAAAAAAAATAAAACAAATATCGTTTTAGGCCAGTGATTATGATGCAAATTTGTTCTCACTAATGGCCATGTTTTCTGTCGTGTATCGTAACAACAATACAACACGATAGCCGGTGTACATGACGTTTTATGTTCTCTGAATTATGTTTTATCGAAATGTGTCATCAGCAGGTAGTCGGTTGGTAGCTCGTGTTCGACACTTGAGGTGCCAGCAACGTACACACATCGTAATAATGTTCGATTATATCGCACCAGTCATCACCGCAACAGTCCTCCGATGCCAATCGGGTTGTTGCACTGAACCAATAGCAATCAAGTTCAAGGATGACGATTAGTGTTGCATTATACGTCGCTCAATGACAGTCCACCGCCAGTGGTCCTCGACGAGTCGGCAGATAAAATCAGTGTTTCTTTAGAAGCATATTAATTCGTCTTTTAATCTTGTCATGGTGTTTTTTTCTTTTCGCCGAACGTTGCTAATTATACAAGGGGGGAAAAAAAAAAAGACCGTAACGACTATAATGTTTTCTCGACGCACGCTAACATCGACTGCACGCGGTGCTGTATTGTCACCCGAATCGTTCAAACCTCCGGATCCCTGCAACGGTGAACTCCAGACATTTGTGCCGTCACGAAACCGTTCGGATTCACCGATCACTTATCCAGCCCAAACGCGCGGTGTATCGATTGTATTTCCGCTTTTGAAACAATAATTTTAATCCGTACGAATCCAGTCCGCCATACTTGTTCGGACTCGTTACAACCGCATACGGTCTTGGATGCGTACGAGACTTTAAATACTGTACAGGTCCCGACGACCGTTTTTCTTCCACGCACACATACGGACCATTAACCAACGCGCGTATGAATAGAAATCAGTGTACAATACAACACACGTTGTCTTTGACGAAGTTTATCCGAGCGTTAAATTATGTATCGGGACGGAGTTGCAATACGTTCCCACGTCGTTTACGCCGGTCGAATAAGGAACGCTCACCGTCGTTCGGTCAGTGTTGGACAGTGTTGGCGTGTCTTCGGTGTACAAAGACGGCGAGTAGGGAGAGATAAATGCATTATTACATGGAATTCCGCATCGATAACTCCTCGTACCAGGAACACGTCATCGTTTATAACTATTATTATTAACCATATCATCATAATCATCATCATATTATTTTAACGCGGCGAAATATAATTTAGCGTTATTTATTCACCGTGTAACGTGGACCTGTTTGCAATCAAGTATTATCGTCTCGTACGTTCGAATAATGGAAATAAGGTTTCAAGTACAACAACAGTATGTGAGCGAGGTGCGCATGGATGCAACCACCGCAATGCCTACGTGCCGCGTGTCGGACCCGTTATTTTCAGACGCCTCTGTCGCATACGATATCGCTCATCAGCGCGGTCCTTATTAAAAGCCAGGAATTCCGCCCGTTCAATATGCAGTCGACGTGGAACCGGTTGTGTACGATCGCAGTTATGCGGTTGTCGTCGCACGCGCGTAATCGAAGAAAAAGTGTCAAATGTTGCTAGGCCTACGCGTATT